CAGTTCAATTATAGCATGCTTGATGTGCTATATATTAACCTTCAAGGGCCTGAACGTAAGTCTAGATCCAACCCAAATTGCCTTGCTCGTTCACTGCATATGAACAACACACACACAGCAAGAGTCAGGGCTTTGTTCTGTGTCTCATCCATCCAGCCATCTGCCTTCACATTTTGCACAAGTCTGAAAGACAATGGCAGAATCTCCCCTACAGAAAGATTTCTTCACAGAGAGAAAAGGGGCAGGTTTTTCTGGAGGTCGCTAGGCTAGGCTTCTCCTGGATTTGTTCATTTTCTGTATAGTCATGTGCCCTGCCCCTTGACAACTGCATTCTGCAGTGTCCCAGGTTTACTTCTTCAGTGAGAGATTAAACAAACATTGCTTAACATGGTAAGAGTTCGGATGGTTAAGGAGCCAGCTCGTACTGCCAGCAAAGTGGCTGCAAACTGGATGTGACCAGGCGGGGCTGAGGATGCATAGTTTGCTGGTGTGCTGCACCTAAACAGGGTTCATGTTCCAGTGTAATAGCTCTGGATCACACCATTGTGTCCTTGGTGCTCAGCAGTGAGATACATGACAGCAGCGATGGGCAGGGTCTAAGAGTCTAGGGGACATTTTGCCATCTTCAGAGTCATCCATACACATCAAATGCATGCCAGTTTTACTCAAAGCTCACTCCTTTTTCACACATTAGTATTGCTGAAGTAAAATGGATACTGTGAAGTAAAAGAGACACACCTAACCATTCTAAAGTGACTTCAGTAATTGGAACAGTTCTCCTAAGTTTCATATTGGCAAGAAACAATATGAGACACATCATCAAGTATAAGAAATGGTTACCACTAGTTTTCTTCCTATATGATTTTCAGAAAAGTCTGGGATGCTTTTAGGATCCAGAATTCCTTAGCATCTACAAAAGCCTTCAGTGTTAAGCAGTCGTCCACAGATCTAAGAACTTTGGTGGATAAAGGTCATAGAATTCAACTGAACAGTTTTTCTCTATGGAATCTGGAGATATTTGTTGTCATCTGAGTTTGTTGTTGCCATTTGATTTGCTTTATCATTGAAAAAAGTTGCAGATTGACTATTTTAGCCATAACCCAACATGGGCCATTGGGACATTTTGATTGTTAGCTTTGGGAACAATTGGTTACTTCGTTGCAGATAATCAGAAGTAAATAAGACATTTTAAGGCATTAAAAGTACACTCCTATGCATCAAAAATGAAATATGCACGGAACATACCAGCCTTTTGTAGGTATAGCAACAGTGAATATCTTGAAGGATTTCTCATTCCAAGCTGCTTAACAAAAACAACAACAAAATTAGTGCCTGCCCTACACCCCCTTAAGCTTTTACTTTTAAAGTGAAGAGAGCTGGCAGTGACTAGGAATGGGTGTGCTATTCAAAATCATTTCCCGCAGTCAGAATAATATAATCTGAAGTATGTGTTTTATCCTTAGACAAACAGCCACTTCAGGCCAGGGACTCTCCAGAGTTAATGAAGTTGCACTAAAAAGAAAGAAGAGCACAACAAGGGAATGAGGAAGAGGCCATGATGAAGGAAGAGGAGGGATACACAAAGGGGGGCAGAGAACATACAACATAATAAGGGGCAGGGGGGTGTGATGCGGTATATTTAAAGGGGTGGAAAGGTGAGGCTGCATCAGTTAGTGGTGTGACAGGATGACGGAGCATCTTCTCTCCTGCCTCAGGCCATGGAAGAGTTTGTGCTTGGGCTGCTGGGAAAATAACATTTCCCAGGATTCCTTGCAGCTAAACCAGCTCCCTAATGAAGTTCTCTGTGCCAGGATGCAGGGAGATGCTCTATTTAGGGCTTGCAGCTGCTGAGAAGGGTACGAGCCACATTGTACTCAACTGGTTCTGAGTGGGCCTAGTTTTTCCACCATAGGGATAGTCATGTAAAAAATAGGTCAGTTAGCTGAGCCCAGACATGGGAGAAATGCAGGATTATTAAGAAGTCATTACTAAGAAGCACTCCTTGACTAAGCAGAAGGATTGTGGGGACTTCTTATTCCCCATAAGTCAGGGGTATTAAAAACTAATGGGAATGGAGGCACAGGGCCCCCAGCTGCGCTCATTGCATTCATGGGTGCTAAACACAAGATACAGATTAACCACCTAAAATTTACTGGAATTACATCAGTGCTATTGAATTCAAGTTTGGAGTTATTCTCAGGGGCTACATTCCAGTGATGAGTGAGGCGACCTCAACAGGGACAGGGTCACAATACTGCAATAATTTTTACTTAAAGGGCCAATAACTGAGCCTTTAAAACTTTTAAGCAGAGGCAACTTGCAGGAAGCAGAATCCACCACACAACTTGCAGTCAGGCAAAGCTGCATGGCCATCTGGGGAACCCCACAGGATTAGGCTGGAGAGCTGGATTTGCCTTAGGGTCAAAAGACTGGGCTTACCCCTTTGTAAGCATGTTTAGGATTGCAGAGTCCCAACGCTGTTAAACCAAGCAAAATAAGGAGCAGTTAAATTAAATTGGAACATATTGGAAATAAAAGCAGGAGAAATAACAAGTCATTGAATGTTTTCCTATATGGAATGAACCAGCCTCCATAATGATTAATGTAAAATTGCTTTCAATCCTGGGTAAGTTAAAGTTGAGATTCAAAAAGGGGGTAAAAATTATTTTCTATGTTACCAGAGCATAATTTAAAAGGGAAAACATATGGTATTAACATAAACACCAGTTAGTACCAACTCAGTAACGACTGTAAACAAAAATAAGGGAAACTCAACTCAGAACTGAAACTGGAATAATTACCATCATTAGCTCTTTTTAAAGGGTGATGGCAGTAGCCTGACCCCAACACATCTCCTAACTAGTGTTTTGGTTTTTGCACATCCAAGGCAGTTTGGGCTTATTATTGAAATTGGTTCATTTAAAAAACCCCCAACTGGGAACATCCAAATTTTGGGGCATGCCTAAAGTAGACCTTGACTTCCATCTACTAAATATTTTGAGGCTGCTGGGTTTGCTTCTGTGAAGACATGCATGTGATTATAATGTAAGAGTAGTCTCATTCAGGAGCTCAAAAGAATGCATGTGGCTTTAGCATGCCCCCATGTCTCTGGATGTGCCGATTTTGCCCGCCCCACACACACACACCCCATTCAGACCTTGCCAGTTCAACAAGGTAAACACTGAACTGAGAAGAGTCGCTTTTCTGTGCATGATGCTCTTCCAGAGCTCACCTGGAGCTCTCACACGTTCACCTGAATACCTGAACATAGCCCCAAGTAGGGCTCCAATAGTTTAGAGAAAGTAGCTTATTCAGATTTTCAGAGCTTATGCTTTATCAACATCACAGTGTCCCACAATTTCCACCCTTGCTCTATAGAAGCCCTCTTTGCATAGCTAAAAAAAACACCATTTTTTAAAAGTGTAATTGTCAAGATAGAAAGAACTACAACTATGAGGAGAGGGGGCATCTGTAGATGAAGCCCTTGCCATAACCCAAAGGCATTTACAAGGAACTCCAACTTTTTCTATGGTTGGCCAGACAGAATCTACCTGCCACAGGACTGGGCCCTCAACTGTTGTAATGTTTTTAATGGTCTTCAGTTTTATAGGTTTAAATTGCTATGCACTGCATTTATGGTTTTTTAGCAAAAAGGAAAAAAGTGATATATAATAAGAAACAATAAACATTGCCATCTCCCTCTTTACAATTCATCGTCTTTTTTTCTTTCTTTCCTGACTCTTTGCAAATAGTGACCTGCTCACAGGAAGTACTTCTGCCAATTCTGGAGGTTTTTTCCCATGTTCCCCATGGCACAGTCTACTGCATTAAGCAGGGTCCACAAATCTATGTACTGTTTTGGAGGGGACTGGAGAAACTGCCATTTGGAGTCTGCTTCCGGCAGCTGGGATTACATAGTGAAATCTGGATCCAACCCATTACATTTCAAAATTTCTTCAGCAGAGTGAATGGTAGCAAGGAACTGGTACCTTAACTCCAGCAAAGATAGGTGGCATAGGGACTAAGACACTTCTCTTCTGGCACAGGCTTTTTAAAAAACTTTTATACCCCGTCCTCCAGTTTGACGTCTCTGGATGGTTTATAACAAAGGCTTGGTCTTATAATGGAAGAAACTTACCATCCTTTTCACTCTCGAAAGAGCACTATCTTCCAGTAGATGGTTTAAAATAAAATAAAATAAAATAAAATAAAATAAAATAAAATAAACCACAAGGAAAAAATAAAATAACATTTCCCCAAGAAACTCTACAATATACAGATTTTGTTTATAAAATGCCAGCTTTCATTTTTCACACTGAATTGATTCATTGCTGATCAGCCTGAGCAGCATGTGAGATAGTAAAACCGAAGAGGCAGAAGAGCAGCTTTTTTATCAGAAATTAAATACAAGGAGATTAAAAATGGCAATTGCCTTGACTTATAAGATACTGAGAAGAGGCAACCGGGCTCCCAGTGAGCTCATAGTATAATTCAGAAGGCATTTTCACTTCCGAAACACCTGCCATTTGTCATTGCTATCCATGACTGTTGTCAGAAAACAATCACAAAGATCTCATTGTAAGGTTTTAGTAAATTCAAATTAATTTTAGTTAGTGGAAGTTATTAATGTGTAAAGGCTTCACCCCAAAGGATGCACTTTCAATTGTACTGCTAATTTCCTCTCAATATCTGGAATGTTTATGAACATTCCGTAGCATCATAATATCTCAGCTAATGCTGGTATTTCAGCTTTGTATTTACATACAATGGCACAATTTACATAAGGGGTGGGAAGTGTTTCAGCTCTGGAAAGGGGAAAATGTCAGGTGGTATGCCCCAAACACAAAATTAACACAGCAGAAAATAGGTTGGACTAGGACCTTTTCTACATGTACTTAGAGTGCTTTAAGAAACAATAATACTACACAAGGCACTTGTGTAGTATTGGCACAAGGCACTTACCATTTGAAGTACTGCAGTGTGCTATATAATCTCAGGATTCTACCAGCTCATTCTGTTCTCTGCATAGGGCAATATTTTACAGTTTAACACTGTAGTACATAACAGCCCATTATACTACATTAGTGGGTTCTGAGTCATACTTACTAGTCAAATTATTATTAGTTTGGTGAGATTATTCATGCTTATGGACAAGTTTGCAACCCATGACAGGGACTGAGAGAGCATCATCTTTGCATAAAAGTACATAGCCCATGCTTTCTGGGTCGGCTTTCCTTCCTTGAACTGCCAAATCATTTATCAAACTTCTCAGAGCTTTACCAAAAATATACCACAAACTCGACTATGGCTGGCACATCAGTGTTTCTTTCACCAGAAACTGGTGCTTAATGCAGCAGTCCTGTTTGCTGTGTGAAGTATGGCAATGCCTACAGGAACAGGTTGGATGGGAACAAGAGGAGGACGACACAAAACTGGTAGATGCACATCAAGAGCTTTACTGGATGGTGGTCTATTAAGGCAGCTGTCAGTTCATTCTTCAAATTAGGTAATCCATTCCCAGTAATATTTATTATTGGGTGAGTCCATTGTGTCAGTATTTCTTCAAGGTTATAGGGCATTTTAGAGAAAAGATCAACTCGGGGACCTAGAACATGATTATTCTAAGACTATAGCCCATTGTCATTTTTCTCCAGGTCTAATAATCTATGGGAGTAAAGCAGATGTTGGAACTGCTGATGCATCTTAATTTGTTCTTGCGGTATCTTCAGAGTATGCCCAAGAGCTGCAGGGAGTTATCAAGTAGCAGCAGACTCACCTCTGATTGGAGGTGAGAAATATCACCCAGTACATCTCCTGTACTTTAAGCTGATGATGTCCAGCTGTTTGGAAAGTAAGATTTTGCCAACCTGAGGCACATCTGGCTTAGGAAGTTGGCAAACTAAAGAAATCAAAGAAAACAAGTCTAAGAAAGGAGTGTGCTAGCTGCAATATTCAGATTTTGCTATCACCACACTTCTCCCTAGAGTAGTAGATAGCACCCATTTCTTTTCAACTGACATTTACATATAAATACACTTGATGTCTGTACACTATACACTGCCAACGTATTTCATTTCCTAGAACAATTAGCAAATTGATTTACAAATCTGAACTTTCTTCATGGAGGGCTCGGTGCCTCTCTAGAACCATGTGGAGTTCTTGAATAACATTTGCAGGAAGTTTCTTATCAGATTCCAATTGAGTTCGACTGGCTTTGTCCTCAGTTTTCTTTGATGACTTTGATTCTTTGTAAGGTCGTTGGTGCAAGTCAACCACATCTTCATCCATGTCATCTAAACAGATCAGGCTTCTATGCTTTCTTGTGCAGCTTCGAGCTTTTTCTTCTTTGCGTTCCAGACACTGAGCCACCCTTGAGACTCTTTCCTTTAAACTCTTTTTGTCTTCATTTAAATTATTTTCAGATTCCAGTCCTGAATTCTGAATGAAGAGAAGAAATTGAATTGCATACATAATACATTCCTGAATAATTATCTGTTGTTCATCATTTTTAAAGCAATAGTGTCCATCAACCTGGGGATTTGTTTAGTGTGCAAGAACTCTAAGATTAATCTGACTTTCTCACATAAGTAAGACTTCCCCCCCCCTCATTAATTTCCATTTTGGGATGAGATCCATTTTATCCACACCCCTTTCCATTCCATTATTCAGATGTGAAATGGGAAGGAAAACCACTTTATTATTAATATTATGGATTTCCCAAATGCTTACAGAATGATACCAGCTTTTACCCCTTTAGGCTTCCAATCTGAACACTTAAAGGACAGAAAAAGGAGATGGGTTTGAATACACTAGAATGAAAAGCTAAACAACAGTACAAGAATCCAGATTAACATCTTGTGATAAAGAGGGATGGACCAGTAAAGGGGGAAAGGATGCTGTTAGGGAACGGCAGATGTAATTTGGCGTTTCTGAGAAATGAGACCAAAGAATGTAAGAAGGGTCATGGAGAAAGCAGAACTGAAGAATTAAGACATTTGAAAGTCTATAGACATTTATGTTATCAGTATTATCATTCATCGCATATGAAAAGTTTCTTCCCTATTCCCAAATTGGCAACTCAAAAATGAACCATGCCCACACAGACAAGCCGTCTGCTGTCTCCCCATATGGTTTCAGTGATTTCTAGTTGAGTGACTGGGTAAGATAGAGCAATAAATTTTCTTTTCTCCTTACCTTGCCTAGACATAGAATTAAATACTTATACTCAAAAGACTCAACTGTATTCCTAGTGGGAACTTAAGATTCATCTTAGAATTCACATACATTGAAGAGACAAATCCCATTGGACCCAAAATGTCTGCTGCAATACGAGTAGGCTTCTGTTGCTATGGCTCCAACCAATTCTTTCTTCAAGTCAAACAACATTATAATGGAAATATAAGTCTGTTAAGTTCCAGAAGAGGCTTAATTTACCACTACAGCTATTTAGTACAATTCTAGGATATACATTTCAAGAACTGCCTTGCTCCATTGGGAATAAACAGAGATAGAGCACAGGAAAAAATGGTTAGAGTCTTTAAAGTACAGCCATTTTAATTCTAATGGATACCTCCCCCCAGTTAAGACTTTTCTTTCATAAATCTGACAAAAATAAACAAAATTATTTATTATTTCCCATGTAGTTACATGAATCTCACAAAAATATTTCACAAACTACATCCACATATTATATCATAAATTCAAAAATAATAATATACTGAGTTCATTTCATGCACTCTAGATTTAGTGTGTATGTCTTTATCTTCCTTCATCTGCAGTTTATAGATGCCATTTTTAACTTTGACATTTCTTTGTACTCTGGCTTAGTGTGTGCATAGATGCACTGGCCTATGTTATGCTCTAATGATCAATGAAGTATTATATAAAAAGAGAGCAACACAAATGCTGATCATCAAATTTAGCCAGCAAACCTACCTGTGCTGTGTTGGTCTTCACTTTTGGAGAACATCTTTCATGCTGGATTGGTATTAAAGGCAAGCCACCAATTTTTGGATTTTTTGTAATAGATTGCTTTCTTGTTTTTCCATCTGGTGGACAGGTATCACTGAGCTATGGAAGAAGACTTATGTCATTGTCATCCCTACAACAAACTGAAAACCATTTACTATACAAGAATAGTATATTTTAAGACATGGCTGCATTTTTAAATATGAATATAGGAATGTGCGTATTTCAGAAGCCATTTACAAGGATTCAGTGTCAGAAGCTGCCCCTCTGCTTCCTGCTGAAGACAAGTCACCAAACACAAGATAGTGCTATTGATAACAAGCCAGATAGAACTACTCCCAAGTCAGGGTTCCTCAACACAGACCTTTTGGACAAATCCAACCCTCTGGGATTCACAGGGTTCACACATCCTTTCTTTCCATCCACTAACTGTTTGAAGTTTTCCCAGCTCTTACATGATTCTCTTCCTCTCTGTCTAAAAAGCTAAATTATGGATGGATAAATGAATTATATCTGCCTTTGGTGTTACTAACCACAAGAAAGTAGCCCAAGATGGTCTTTGAAACAAAATCTGGTCCTTGGGCCAAAAGGTCAACATTTTATTTATTTATTTATTTATTAAAACATTTCTATGCTGCCCCTTGCCAACATCCTTTCCCTAGATCCTGATGTGTTTCTATTAGCCATGCTTCAAACTGAAACCTAACTAGAATCACTTTGACAAGGACCTTAAGCATGTGCAGGTGCATATAACCAGGGCTCCCTCCATGACAACAGGTATTTTGATTGACTCTGGTTCTGGTTCCCATTCTAGCTGAAAAAGCCCTGTATGTTTGCAATTGTTCAGATGCAAAACTTCTTTCAGACTGAAGTGGAAAATGTAGCAGACAGGGCTGTGCATCTGGCATGCAAGTTGCCATTCAGAGGTAGATCTAGCTCTCAACTCTCTCAAAAGCCCCTTCATGGTCTTATTCCTGATCACTTAAGCTTAATGTTAAAACTTTGCACATCAGCATCTAAACTTGACCCTTGGAAAAAGCTACCAGAGTTGGGAAGCATCTGGTTCAGGATGAACAATCCCCAGAAAGTGAGGATATCCAAATGGGGATGCAGTAGAATTAAGCAATGAGCACAGAAGCCGAAACATCCATGGAAAAATACATGTGCCAGAGGCATTTGGAGAGGATGCTAATGAAAGAAGCTTCTTAGTTAAAATGAACCAACCAGCTGTATTATTTGGCTTTAAAAGGGAACATAGGTATAGTGAGTATAACAGGACAGAGTATTGCAGGAATAATCACCTGCACACAATTGGTTTAGTAAATACATGACATTTCTATGTATCATAAATGATGGTGCCCTGGAAAAGCTGGTCATGGATTCAACCAAAAGGAGGCCACTGTAGCTTCAGTTCTATGCTGCAGTGTAGACTCAGTAGACTCAGTTTTATGTGGCAGCTTGAGGCAAGCTATAAGGGTCACTGAGCTGACTGGAAACAGGGACCATTGAACAATTAAGCTTAACATATGTAAATAGACAATTGCTAAAGAACTACATCAAAGCAAGGGACTGCTAAAAAATGAAGGGACTAATACAAATGAAATGCAGATGAAAAGTCAAGAAGGTTGAATACATCCAGAAAGTCTGGAGGTCACTTTAGAAGAATAAACACAATAAGAAGAGCTCAGCTAGAACGTATACTGAATAAAGCTACAGCCAAGTCCAAGAAGATGCCACTTGTAGTTCATGAACAGGATCAGGAAATTTTTAGAACCAAAGAAAGGTTCCTTCAGAAGACAGAAGTCTTGCCCAAATGAGAACAAAAAGGAACATTTTTGTACAGACAAAAATGCATTTTATCCACTAAATTATGCATTCTCAGAGCTAGAGACTGCCTTCCTACATTGACATTTCAAACTGTTAGGGCAACCGTTGAGTTACATTTCACACTTTTGTCTCCAGAGTTTGATCTTGTGTCAACAGGACCCAAACAGAATTGCTAAGCTAGAGATGAGTGCGATTTTTATGTTATCACTGTCAGCAGTCTGTGAACTTATTCATTCTGACTCTAGGCATGTTAATCCCCTGAGATGTCCTCAGAATCCCAATTTGAGGTCTGCTTCCATAACAGTTGCTGTTTTAGAGAGGCAAATGGAATATTGTTCTGGGAAGATTTGCTTTCAAAAGCCATTCTACACATCTGTGTTCTATAACAAGGGTATCATCTAGCAATCACCACAGCACTCAAAGGGACCTCCAGTGGCACCCACAAAGCAATCTATCTCCTGCACCCTTCAAACACCTTAAGAAAAAAAAAAACACTTACAGAATTGTTAGGGTAGTTATCTTTCTTTTCCTTTCTGGACTCTAGCTTTGCACTTTCGCTCGCCTTGGCTCTTGGCTCTTGCCTTAGGCCTCACCGTTTCTCTCCCTCTTCCCATGCTGTTTGTCCCCTTTCCCAGCTTCTAGCTCTGCTCTTTCTCGTCCCTCTATGCTTTGCCATTTCCCAGTCTCTAGCCTCATGATTCCTCCACCCACCCCATCTTTAGCTCATTTTCGACTCATCCCCCAACACACAACCCAATCATTACATAACTAGCAAACACTCTGTGGGATCCATTTGTGGTGATGTCCTTAGCAGCTTTTCAAATTTCCGAATGTGTCCATAGGTCTGAAAAGCTTGGGACCTCTGATCTCTAAGGTCATCAAGATTGAGCATCACCCAGAAAGTTCATTCATCCAAACTAACAGAATTGCCCTGTATGCATTACAAAGCTAGACGCAAGGGCTTCCCTCAATGATACATCAATGAAAACAGTTGATGTATCATTATACATGGGATCAACAATTCCCATGAGATGAACACGGAAATTAAAGCTTATGAATTTGTTAGACATCTAGGTGCTAAAAGACACCTTTATAGCTGAGGGTTAATGATATTTCAACACTCAGGTATTCTCAATGGCAAAGCAGGTGGTTGCTAAGAAAAAGTGCTCTAAAATGAGTTGGGCAAATAATATGGAATAACACACATCAAAATGATGTATAACATAAACAGGGTCATAAGTACTATGGGTAATGAAATTACAAAGGATAGTTGTCTGTTACAACATACATTTTATTTAATCTTAGGGTATCGGCGGCAATGTATGCCTAAGTTTGAATGGTGGGGTTGGCTTAAATGAGTGTGTTGGTTTAAATGAGTGTGTTGGTGTGTATACAAACAAGAACACAGCTAAACAGATGTACAAACATATTTTACACATATAGTAAAGTAGAAATGCTTTTTCTGGAGCTCAGTGAATAATAGAAAAAGTGTGAATAATAGAAAAAGTTATACCTGTGCAATAAAAATGCTGCTTAGCCATTCCAGCTGAGAGTCCTGTCCATCACAACATAAATGCCTGAAAATATAGATTAACATAAATTCAGGGCCAGCAGCATAATGGCCTGGAAGCCAATCAGGCTGCAGTTAGTGGGCATCACAATTTTGGTGACTACAAATCCTTAATGATTCAGAAGAAATTAAACAACAGCAAAGAATGTGGCATACACATGAATTTAAGCAAAGCAGCTTATAGTGAACATGCTCAATAGACAGATCTAAGCACTATTCAAGCCAAACTGTGTTTAGTTTTGACATTTCTTGTGGAGAAAAAGGGAGCCATATGCCACCGTTAATCAAGTTTGATCAAATATGTTTCTAATATTTGATTAGTCATGAATCCCTTTTGACATATAATTCCTCAGCAGCTTGTTATAGGGCTAAAATGAGATCGCACTCTGTGTGCTATATAGTCCTTAAATGCACACATACATGCAAAAACACATATATGCACATGAAAGTCAGACTTCAGCTGGGGAAAAACACAAGCACAGTTCATATATAGAATAGAAATGTAATAATAATAATAATAATAATAATAATAATAATAATAATAATATATGTGATATGCCTCATTACTGATAGCTTTTCCAGTACTGCAGTTTTTCAGAAAGGAAGAATTGATTGGCATACCTAATGTTACAGTTTCAGCTTCAACCACCACCAAGCAGAGCCAAAGAAATCTGAATATGGCAGAGGAGAAGGAACCCTTTTTAACTGTAATTAAAAATAATTATTAGCAATTGCTAATTACTAATAACTTACCAGAGGAACTTTTCCATATACAAGGTTAGGCCCCAGCTGCAAACAAAAACCACAACAAATGTGAACATGTGCTTATTGTATATGAACTTGGCAAATACAAGGTGAAGAGCACTTGGGAATTTAGTTAAATTTCTGGAAGCCAAATCATTACTTCATTGTTCAGAACAGTACAGTAATTTCAAGACAGTCATACAAAAAGGAATAACCAAATCACAGAGGGCTCTGTGTTAATTTGCTTGTTGTTTTCTATATGTTTGTGGCATAGATCAGAGGAAGGTAATGTGGTACCCACATGGAACAGCACACCTCAGACAGCCCATTGGGCTGCCCAATCCTTTCCAGTTTTTACTGTTATAATTGACACATTTTCTAGGAGCAGTCAGGATGGCTGTTAAACAGGCTGCTGCTGGTCCTCAACACTGCGCATTCAAAAGAGTTGTTTAGTGGGGATCACATCTGGCCTGTGACTTATCTTAAGTCTTTTGGGCAGGTTATTTGTCCTTTGCAATGTGTGAGAAGAGCTGCATCTGAATTTTTAGTACTTCCTCCTTCTCCCTGTGAAAGGTGTGGGCGGTAGCGGTTGCCCCTTCTCTCCTCTCAGGGAGGATTAAAACACTCTGCAAGGTGGTTTAGACTAGTCTTTCTCAACCTGGATTACAACTCCCAGCATTCCTGACCATCGGCTATGCTGGATGGGGCTGATGAGAACTGAAGCAGGAAGCATCTGGAGAGTATCAGGCAGGGAAGCCTGGAATAGACAATTTGAGATCCTCGTTCTTGGATGATTCGATTTCTGGGAATACCTCCCTATTGCTAGAATTCAGGTCAGATGTTCCTAGACAATTTCAGCACATAACCAATACAGCCCACAAGAGCTACTGCACTGAGATGAGAAAAGGCCATTCAATAAAGTAATTTCAGAACACAGAAGCATTAAAACAGAACAAATTATTATCTTTGGCTGAAGAACAACATACATTATAAGGATGTAATTTAACAGAGAACAAAAGATGAATATAGATTTGCTTCGTTGTTCTATTTTATTTTCTTTCTAACAGTCATTGGGAAAGCAGAACTTCTGGCTGAAAAGAAACCAAAACACTACTGTTTCTACACTCCACAAGACAGTGTGGTGTAGTGGTTAGAGAGTTGGATTGGGATTCAGCTATGCAGTTCACTGAGTGACCTGGGTCAGTCACTGCCTCTCAGTATAACCTACAGTATATCACAGAAGTGAGTACACCCCTCACATTTTGTAAATATTTTATTATATCTTCTCATGTGACAACCCTGAAGAAATGACACTTTGCTACAATGTAAAGTAGTAAGTATACAGCTTGTATAACAGTGTAAATTCGCTGTCCCCTCAAAATAACTCAACACACAGCCATTAATGTCTAAAACACTGGCAACAAAAGAGAGTACACCCCTAAGTGAAACTGTCCAAATTGGGCATTATTAGCCATTTTCCCTCCCTGGTGTCATGTGACCCATTAGTGTTACAAGGTCTCAGGTGTGAATAGGGAACAGGTGTGTTAAATTTGGTATTATTGCTCTCACTCTCTCATACTGGTCACTGGAAGTTCAACATGGCACCTCATGGCAAAGAACTCTGAGGATCTGAAAAAAAGAATTGTTGCTCTACATAAAGATGGCTTAGGCTATAAGAAGATTGCCAAGACCCTGAAACTGAGCTGCAGCACGGTGGCCAAGACCACACAGCAGTTTAACAGGACAGGTTCCACTCAGAACAGGCCTCGCCATGGTTGACCAAAGAAGTTGAGTGCACGTGCTCAGCGTCATATCCAGAGGTTGGCTTTGGAAAATAGACATATGAGTGCTGCCAGCATTGCTGCAGAGGTTGAAGGGGTGGTGGGTCAGCCTGTCAGTGCTCAGACCATACGCCGCACACTGCATCAAATTGGTCTGCAGGGCTGTCGTCCCAGAAGGAAGCCTCTTCTAAAGATGATGCACAAGAAAGCCCGCAAATAGTTTGCTGAAGACAAGCAGACTAAGGACATAGATTACTGGAACCATGTCCTGTGGTCTGATGAGACCAAGATAAACTT